ACATCTTCTTCCCCTCTTTTCAAATTCTCCCCCAAACGGTCAATATTTGTCTCCATTTTCAATCTAAACATTTTTACTTTCGAACATTTATACAAGAAATTCTTAAAATATTTCGATTTTACTTGTTAGAAAAAGTAAGAATTTTCTATTTTTAATGACAACACACTGTAAAAAGAAAGGTATACTAATTTAGTACCAAAATTGGTATACTAAATCGTAATTTGGTTCTATTTTAATACCGAAATCCGCTCTAATTTAGAACCTTTTTTTTATAGTGCAAGAAGTAGAATATAAATTTCTTAAAGTTTAATGCATTGAATTATAACATTTTTTTCTTTGAAAATATTTAAGAAATAATCTGACGGACAGTCAAATCAAAAGTTAGTCCAATGTCATAATTTCATAATTTAAAAGAAAAACAACAAATTAAATTTTTGATTTGTAGAGTAATTTTTGTATGTATCAACGAATCGCGATTCTTTTTCTTTTGTATTAAATTTTATTTTTGATCAAAAATGTAGAAATTGTTATTTGAACGTAATCGAATTTTAGTTTATTTTAACGTAAAATATAAAAAACGTAAAATCTAAATTTTAACGTAAAATTTAAAATTTATTGAAGTAAATAATCAAATATTTGTTACAAGGAGAAGAATTTAATTTTGAATTTTTAAAACGATTGAAAGTTGCAATTTGAATAAAAATTACAATTTTCTGTCAATAAGAAACATTTGTTAAATTTTAGGTTATGTTACATAAATCATTTAATATTGACAAAAAATTATGATTTTTTTTCAAATATAACTTTAAAGTGTTCAAAATTTATAGAAAATTAAATTCCTGACGCTTCTACCAAAAGGATTTTAAATTTTAATTTGACCCTTTTTTTATACGAAATTATGACATTGGAATAACTTTTGTTCCGATTGATTGTCGGATTCTTCATTAATTAATTGAGCTGAAATTTTGCAAAAAAAAGTCTAAAATATGACGAGAAAGGACAGAGTGATGGAAAAGTTTAAATATTTTTAAAATTGATTATTTTAAAACATTTTTAAATTGTCAATATTGTGACTGTCATTTCTAACATAACTTTTTCTGTTATCAATTTCAAAAGTGTTTTTTAATAATAAATTTTTAAAATATTTAAACTTTTACACATCACTGCCGTTTCTCTATTATATTTTAGACTTTTTTTTACAAAATTTCAGATATCAAATCATATTCAATATTTTAAGAGAAAAATGTGCGACAAAATTAAATTTCGAAATCTAACAATTACATTTTGTCATAAAATAAATTTAGTTAAAAAATTTTTGACGAAGTAGTCAAAAAAATTTTATTTTTCGTAAAAAAACTACATATTTTAAAAACCATCTGTAAATTTGTAGAACGTATATTTATTTATCTAAAAAAAATTTACACCTCTCAAAATTTTGATATTTACTATTTTCGAAGCATTTTTTTCGGAAAAAAATTCATTTTTATCGAATAAAATGTGATTTTTGTAATAAAAATTGCAAATTTAAGTAATAAGAATAGAAATCATTTAAATTTGTAAAGTTATTTTTGAAATTTAAAGAATATTTATATTTTTCATGAAAGATTTAAAAAAATTCATTTTTTTCCGAAAAAAATGCTTCAAAAATAGTAAATATTAAAATTTTGATAGGTGTAAATTGTTTTAAAATAAATAAACATATTTTCTACAAATTTATAAATGAGTTTTAAAATATTTAATTTTTTACGAAAAATAAAAATTTTTTCATCCAATTTATTTTATGACCATTAAATAAATTAAATTAAATTTAATTTAGTATAGTATTTAGTATAGTATTAAAAATACAAAAAAAATCGAAAATTTTCTAGGTAACTTACTCTCTAAATTTGAAGTAGTAAAATTTTTTACTAATTTAAGTAGATGACTTAATTTCTGTAAGTGACTTTATGCTATTGAATTAGTCAATTTTACAAAAAATTAGTAGAAATTACTATTTAGTAAATAAATAATAATTAATAAATAATAATAAAAAATTAATTTCTACTAATTTACTGCTAAAATTTACTAATTTAAAATAAATTAGTAAAAATCACTATTTATTAGTAAAATTTACCAATTTATTTACTAAATATTTTTACTAATTTATTGGTAAAATTTACTAATTGAAAATGAATCTGTAAAAATTACTATTTATTAGTAAAATTTACTAATTTATTTGCTAAATATTTCTACTAATTTATTGGTAAAATTTACTAATTGAAAATAAATTTGTAGAAATTACTGTTTCTTAGTAAAATTTACTAATTTATTTATACTAAATATTTCTACTAATTGATAGGTAAAATTTACTAATTCAAAATAAATTTTTAAAAATGACTATTTATTATTAAAATTTAATAATTTATTTACTAAATAGTAATTTCTACTAATTTGTTGGTAAAATTTATTAATTGAAAAACAAAAAGTCAGTCACTAATTTGAATTAGTAAATATTTTTATTTAAATTCAGAATATTACGAACATAAACTCGAATTTAAAAAATTAAAAATGGCCGATCCAATATGGCGGAACAAAAAATTTAAACTCTTCCAAATGTCATGAAACTTGTTACTTATACGAATTTTTCAAGCTTTATCGATGAGTTCTGTCTCTGATATAAAAGAAGAAGTTTAAAAGTTTAAAAAGTTTGAGTTTAAAAAATTCATTATTTGACAAAAAAATGCAATTGAATATTACTCTTTTCTGAAAAAATTGTGTAACTAGGTTTTCAAATTTAATTTTGAAATTAAGTTTTATTACATTTTTGTTCGGCTTAAAAATTATTTTTTAGCCAGCACCACCACTTCTGTTAAATAAAAATTTACTCAAGTAGCAGTTATTTTTATCTGACTATAAATTATTTTTAACGAAACGATCAGTAGAAATATTAATATTTGAATTAGTGACTGACTTTTTTTCTCTTCATTCGGTTATTTTTAACTGATTCAAATTTAGAGAGATGATTATACCTCCGTTTTGTGCTCTTAGAAGCATATGTACAATTACATAATTTAAAACTGTTTTGAATGAAATAATGAAATTTTTTTAATTTAATTTAATTTATAGTTAAAAAAAAGGATAAGATTTTTCCACTCTAAATTAGAAAAATTGGATTTTTTTTTAAATGAAATATTGCAAATTTTTTTTAAGTTTAATTTATAGATAAGAGGAAAAAAAAAGAATAAGATTTTTTCAATCTAAATTAGAAAACTTTTTTTTTCGAAAAATAAACAAGAGCAAAGAAAAAAAAAGATTCTCGACTATTGAAATCCGGACATTGTCTCAAATTGGAAAAACGTTTACTAGCAACGATTTCGCGACCAGAAGATAGAGTAAACTGATAAGGCTTTCTTTCTTTCTTTTTTTTTTTTTAAAGTTTCTCTCGATTTGAAATCCAAGTCGCGGTAAGCTGAGCGTTTCGCAGTCTAGCGTTTGACACCAGCCACTATAAAATCGAGTCCCCTGATTTCAAATTCAATTCAAAATCCCAGCAGCGAGCGCAAAATATATATATACACAAGCCACTTCTTTGCCAAATGGCAGCAAGGGAAACAAATGTTTTATGACCCTTAAAGCGACCTATTCTATATAGTTTCGAAACTGAAAGGGGAAAATTCTATCTAACGTGTTTCAGGTAGAATAAAACTTCCCCATCGCGTATATAAACCTATACGAAAAACAATACGAATAATATATATCAGTTTTATGCCATATGAACATATTATCATACAACACATATGTTGAGAAAACGAATTTATCACTCGAATTATAATTGCCCATTATTTATGCGAATAGTTTTTTTTTTTAATTTTCTACATAAATTGTTATTCACATATACGAAGAGAAAAAAATCTTTTTGATTTATTATAATCAGATCTGATTATAGTTTTGTAATTTATTAGAAAGAATTATAAATTAAAAACTGATTTTATTTGTGAAATGTCGAATCAAGAATTTCATTCTTGATTCTGTATATAAACTTGGTGTACAAAAGACAAGCAGCTATTAATGACATTCCGTGTTCTTAACTCGAAACTTGTGGAGTAAGCGGAAACAGTGGAGTATCAATAATGTCAAAGCTCGCAGGGTCGACCATAACTAGATCTAGTTCTCTGGCAGCAGGGCAAACTAACATACTTGCTTTTCTTCTTGAGAAGAGAGAGAGAGAGAGGAGAGAGTCCCGCAGCGTTGGCTGACACTGTTTATAATTTAAGGGGATTCCGAAGTCGAGGGTAGAAGAGCTTCCAGCCTTTCGAGAGGGTTCGTGAGAGACGGGAACGAAACAAGAGGGTAAGACCAAGAAAGAGAAGGTGCTCATGTCCTTCTTAGAGACTTGGGGTTACACTCACTGTATATATGCGGTGCCAAGAAACTCACCCTTCGATTTCGTATATAATTTACTAAATCATAAAAAATCAAGATATATCTAACAGTAGAAAAAAAGGATATTCTATTATTTTCTTTGCTATATCATTTCGAATAATTCCTCAATGACAAATGTATCTAATTTATTTTATTACTTTCTTCACTTTATTTATAATATAGTAATATAGTAATGCAAGTGAATTTAGAGTTATTTATTATTTTAGTGATTCTAAGAAAAAAATTTTTGGATCTTCTCATGTTGGCGGGAAATAAAGTTGCACCGAACTGAATCTAATCTAACCTAACTTAACTTAACATAACCTAATCTAACCTCCATTATTCTAACAGTAAATCATTTACGTCATCGTCCATATACCACGTGGATAATTTTTTATCAATTTTCGACTCCCCCTCTCATAATTGTCCCCAAAACGTATGTAATGCTGGTGCATCACATACGACGTTAGGAAAAGGTTTTTTTTTAAAAAATACAGGAAGTATTTTTTTTCAGAGCAACCCCTGAATAGGCATTTTGAATCGATTTAGCTTGAGCGAGATCGAAAGGGACAAATTTATTCAAGAAAACAAGTGCTCACCTGATCACTGTCTTGTTGCTCTTGTCCGTAGGTCGGGGTTTCACCATTAGGGGTGGTTGAGGCGGAGGGTCGCTGCGACGTTGACAGGTTGATCGCGCCGTCTCCGTCTGTGTCATGATCCATTATGCCATCGTCCTGAAATCACGAAATTTATATTGTTCACATCTTCATTTAATCAATATTTTTCTCTTCTCTCTTTCTTCATTATTATTTTTATTATTACTGATCACATATTATGTAACTATCATTTGAAAATAAAGTCGTAAGTTTATACAAACATCCGTTATTTTTACGATTAATTATGAACGGTAGTGTTTTTTTTTTAAATTGAAAACTGAATCATTTTCACTTAATTTTTCCTTCTCTTGACTATCAAATTAAGAAAAAAAAACGTTTCCTTCTTACGATGCAACAATTTTGAAAGGTTTTTGTCTAAATTTGATAGTTACTTTTGTTCAGCCTCGCATTTTAAGACATGAAAATAAATAAACGAAGAGTGAACAACCGAAAATGTGCACATAACTTTGATTCAGATGAACATTAACAGGATGGTCACAAATCACAATAAGTTACAGTTTATCAATTTCCCTGACATTTCCCTAACAATTTATTGACATTAAAATTATTTTCCCTGACAAAATCTTTTTACAGGAAAATATAAAAGTTTACGCGGATAATAAGTAAAATTTATGAATTTTAATAATTTCTAAAAATTAAAATTAGAACCCTACCTGAATTTAATTAATTTAAATAATTTTCCAAGAGTTCTTCTAGAATTGAATTATTTAAATAAAAAAAAACTCAATTTTTTATAATAATTGTAATAGTTTTATTAGTTTTTTTCATAGTTTTTCTCAAGTTATTTTTAAATAATTTTTGAAAGATAACAGCTTTGCAATTTTCAAAAATTACCAAATAATTAAAATTTGGTAAAATCCTTTAAAAATAATTGAATTTTTGAAATTTCAAATAAAAATGATGAAATTCTTGAAGAATTTTATAATTATAAAGAGGACCATGATTTCTCAACAATTTTAACAAGTCCAAAAAATAAATTTTCATAAATTTTTATAATACATTGTTTGAAGACATAATTGAATTTTAAAAAATTTTTATAAAACATTTCTAGTGATTAGTTTTTAAAAATAATTGAAATGGAATTTTTCAAAAATAATTGAATTTCTTAAAAGAATTTTTGTATAATTTAAAAAAAACTAATTATTTGATGAATTTTAATTAAAAATTTTGAATATGATTGTTTTCTCCAAAATGATAAAAATAATTCTAGAATGTTATTATTTTTGTATATTTTTGAATTTTTGGAAATATTTAATTAAAAATAGTGAAAATATTGAATTTTAAAAAGTTAGAAACTATTTTTCATTAATTTTCATTTTTAAATTTACCTTTAAAGATTTTTCATTAAAATTTGCAATTAAAATTATAAAATTTAAACTATTCAGAAAAAATTTTATTTTATACATTTTTATAACAATGAGAAGAATCTTGCAAAAAATGGGCAAAGACTATGTCCATTTTACAAAAATTAATAGAAATTTGTTACGAAAACTGAAAAAATTTTTTAAAAAAAATGATAATAACCATTGCCATACTTTACAAGATTCTACCCATTCTTTAAAGAATGAAAAAAATTGGTTAAATTTGCACAAAAAAAATATTGTAGTTGCCAAAACTTTGCCAGACTTCTACCATATACTTCGAAAGATAAAAACTATTTGTTAAAAAAAGAAACTTTTCCCAAAAATTGATTTCATCTGTACTCCATATACTTCGCCAAACCTTTCCCGTATACTTTGAAATGAAACAAATTTTTTAAAAAAGCTAAGAAAGTTTGCAAAAATTCATTCTAGCTATTGCTCATCCTTTGCCAGTTTCTTTCCATACTTCGTAAAATAAAAACACTTTGAAAAAAAGTAAAAGTATTTTAAGACACTATTGTTGTCACTTCTAAGTTGTTTCGAAAAATTGATGAAAATCATATGTTAAAATGCATTGGTTTCGAAGACGGAAGATGGAAAAATAAGATGTTTTAAATATCTTAAAAGTAACTACAATGTATTTTAAAATGTTTCTTTTTGCAGTGAACAATTCGTTAAAATAACTAAAAAATTTAACAAAAATTAATTTTCGTAATTGCTTTCTTTGACAGACTCTTCCCATAGTTTGGAAATTGTATAAACTTTAAAAAAAATGTAAAAAATTTCAGCTAAGTTGATTCTAGTTGTTGCCCATACTTTGCTAGACTCTTCCTATAGTTTGGAAAATGTATAAAATTTGATAAAAAAAGTAGAAGATTCCGGAAAAATTGATTTTTGGTAACTTTTACTACTTTTGGAGTAAATTTTGCTACGTTCGATGTAAATTTTACTACGTTCAAAGAATATATTTGTAAAAAATTAGTAAAATTTACTTTGAACGTATCAAAATTTACTCCAAGTGTAGTAAAAGTTACCAGAAATGTTTTACTATGAAAGTAGTAAAAAGTTAATTAATATTTTTCTTCATGTAGACTCTATACCCATGGTTTGAAAAATATACGTAAAATTTGATAAGAAAGTAAAAAATTTCGGAAAAATTGATTCTAGCCGTTGCCCATACTTTGACAGACATTTAAATTGACAGATTAATAGTTAATAATTTTGTTATTAGAAATAATAGTATTCACTTTTTTTTATTTACATTAAGTTAGGTTAGCATTTGGAATTACAAGAAATGTGTTGTGAAAATGAAGATTTTCGAGTATTTTCGTTTTTCTGGTGTCATATTCGTTACTCTTTATTTCAACATTTAAAAATGGAGTAAAACTGAAACCCTTTGTTAACTAATTAAATGAATGATTAAGATTTAAAATTGTATTTTAACATAAAAAAAATTGAAGAATGAAAAAAATAATAAATTTGAAGCTGTACTATGTATGCGTGCTATTACAATTTTTTACTGCATTTTCCTCCCGGAGTTACCAGCATGCGGATTATAATGGAACAATTTCCTCAACATTGAACTCGTATCCTTCCTTTCTTCGGAATTGAATTTCACTTCGAGGTCATGCACATGAAGTGTGTGCAGTGTATACGCAGATCACCGCAGAATATATCACGTCACTACTTTTATTAGAACTTCAACATACGGCAATTAACACAAGCAGCCCACTACACAAGATGCTTCTTTCTTCTTCACCATGAGATTATTTTTTTATTTTTTTTTTTTTTCAAAAGAATGTTTCCATTACGTCACGTATATAACACATATCAAACAACAGTGACTGTTCATGTAATAATATGCTTATTATTATAACATAATCTCAAGTCGCTCGTATTCAATTCATCGTAGAAGAGATTCACCCATCACACTTCCGCTTCCTTTATTGCAAACTGGGCTCTAAAATTAACCGTTTGACAGATGTGCCTGCCAGTCACTATATAAGTTAACCTTTTCTGCTTTTATCTTCTTTCGAACCTTTTAAACCTTTCGAACTTTTCCGCAAAAATTCCGAACTAAAATTCAAACACTAGAATCCTAATTTTTAATTTTTCAATTCAAATCCTAATCACTAAGGAATAATTTTAGTTTAGAGTTGTAAATTGTAAATTTAACAGAATGAAGAAAGCTCAATTGTACTCTCGAAGTAAAAATTTCGTATCTTGACACAACAATGGGCACACTATTGTATATCTATATATAGGTGTATTGTATAGCACGCATGTTGTGCGTGCGTCTTGAGTTGCACACACCCGGTCGAATAGCACGCGGCGCCGGGTATCCTTGATAATGATATTGACAGAGGCGAATTATTACAATTATTGCACAACAACACGAAAATGGGAAGAAAAGAAATATCTCTTTTTTAAAAAAATATTTCTCGATGGGGAAAAAAAAGGAGAAAATGAAACTTCGAAACGTTAACACGCGTCGACGGAGAAGCGAGAACTAAACTAAAAGCGGCAGAGGTATAACCGGCGGGGCCATTGCTTATTGTGTAAATATAAACAAATATCGTTGAAACCAACCAACAGGCCTGCTTTTAGTCCCTCTCCTCTGCCCATTCCCCTCGTGTGCCCTAGCGACCACCACGTCTCACGTCGCTCCCCTTCCGCGATTCATTCTTCCCTTACCCCTCGCGGACCCTGACTCAACAAACTCACATACGACGTATGAGGCATATCATATGTTGCTCTTATGTGTCAACCAACATGCTTATATGTCTGCTAGACTCGAAAGTGTCGCCACATTCAAAGCAATACTTGTAGATAAAAGTTTTCTGGAAAAATTACGAATATTATTATTCTTAGTGTGAATTGTGATTTTTTCTTCATCATTTTTCCATTTATTAGACGAATTTGGATCAATGTTTGGTTTCATCAATTTGGATCAAAGGATCAATTTTGGTTTTGACCCAAATTTTTTGGTATCAATTCGTTGCAATTTTGATAGCTACTAAGTTAACAGTGTTCGGCAATAAAAAAAAGTGACCAAGTGAAGAAATAAGTGTTCTGTGATTTCTGGATTTAGATTTTTGCTAAGAATCTTAATTTTTGAACTTGTTATAAAATTTAAGAAATTGACAATTAGGGAATAAATGTAAAAAATTTATCATTATTCTCGCAATTTTTCTGCAAATATCAAATTGAGACAAAAAACGAATCAAATTTGGCTATAAAACAAAAAACGAAAATATTGCAAAAACAGGTGTTTTCGTCCAAGAAGTTTTACTGTAAATTTTAAGTCGTTTTTTTGGTGCGTGTCATTTGTTTCATTCAATTAGTGAAATTTTTAACTATTTTGGAAATTTTGGGAAAATTCCAAAAAATGTAATTTTATGAAAATAAAATTACATTTTTTTACTGTAATATAAGGAAAATTACCTAAAATTTGATATAAGTTTCCCTATTAAGATTGTTGAAATTTTCACTATTTTGTGAAAAATTTGCACAAAATTGTAGTGAAAATTTTTTTTCCCTCCACTTTGTGGAACATTTTCTAATATTTTATAGCACTTTTCCTCCAACTTTGTAGAAAATTTCTCTAATTTGTGGAAAATTCCACAAAATCGTATAGTAAAAATACTTTTCCTTATATAAATTTGTGGAATGTTCCACAAGAAACCTCAGGGAAAA